CGCTGGTATCATGTTATTTCATGATACTTTCATGAAATAACATGATAAATATCATGTTATTTCATGAAACACAACTATCATGTTATTTCATGATACACAACTATCATGTTATTTCATGATACACAACTATCATGTTATTTCATGATACACAACTATCATGTTATTTCATGATACACAACTATCATGTTATTTCATGATAAACTGGTATCATGAAATAACATGATAAATTGGTATCATTAAATTTCATGATAAATTGGTATCATGAAATTTCATGATAAACTGGTATCATGAAATAACATGATAGTTGTGTATCATGAAATAACATGATAGTTGTGTATCATGAAATAACATGATAGTTGTGTATCATGAAATAACATGATACCAGCGGAAAAAAAAACACACTCACAAGTGAACCTAACAAGCTTCCGTACTACAGAAGGTAAGGTAAGGTGCACTTTATTAATCGCCATAGGGCAATTCACCCTCTGCATTTGACCCATCCTGATGCCACTAAGGCTTACGTCAGGAGCAGTGGTCGCCGTAGTAACAGCGCCCGGGAACCCATCTCCAGATGTTGATGCTCGGCTTGGTCAGGACCAGAGCTGGAGGATCTAACCTAGTGTGCATGTTTTTAGTGGTAGGGGAAACCGGAGCACCCGGAGGAAACCTACGCAGGCACGGGAAAAACATGCAAACTCCACTCAGAAAGACCCTGTTCCAAACCGGGATTCGAACCCAGGACCTTCTTGCTAAGAGGCGAGAGTGCTATCAAGCATTTGTGTATGAGCGAATTTGCAAAACTGAAAAAACTTGATACAGCCCTAATACGTGATGCCAAAACAACTATTGAGAAGAAAAACAGACTGAAAAGCAGGAATTGAGTCGAAAGTTGATTATGAGAAAAACAGCAGGTTTTAGTGGACGACACAACTGTATGTGATTTACACTGAGTCTGAACAACAACACACACAGGCCGGTGCTCAGGAATACACACAACGGGACACAGTAAACAGTGACCTCATCATCCAGTCACACACTCACTCAAGGGACAAATAATGAAACTCTAAAGATGTTTGTGAGTTGGAAACTGCGAAAAGAGGAAATCTAAAACAATTTTTTTATGGTTTTCATTTATCTTTTGACACATTCACAGAATAGAGGCCGATGCAATCTACAATGGTTTTTGTCACAATATCAATCAAATCTATGTGGCGATAACTTCTACTCCTTCTGTGGGCCAGTGTTTTTTGCGTGTAAAATGCCTTGTCGACCAGGGACAACAGGGGAAAGGTTGGCCTGTTGTTTAGACATGTGTGGGTGTGTCAAAATAAAAAGGGATCAAAACAAACTTCAGATTTTCTGAATAAGTCTTGTAATGTCACAGCACAGTGAACCCAGGACCCCAGGGAACCGCAAACTTATCATCCATATGTATTACAAGCAATAAAAACAATTTCAAACTTATTTTTTTAAAGGAAAACTTTATAAAAAGAGAGAGCAGCACGTGCAGAAGCCTTTTGAGGTGTCGGCAGTTAGAGGACTGAGAGGGGAGCATTGGCGGAATGCGTATATTAAACATGTATGAAGTGCAGCTTTGTGTGCTGTGTACATGGAAAACAACTCAAACATGACTATAATCTCAGTATCACCAAATTAAGTATTTTGAAGCTGTGTTTTCAGTGGAAAGAGAAAGAAGTGCAGAGTACGACAGAACAGATATCCTGCCACAGAGTGATGCACATTAGACTTATCTTAAGTAGGATCAAATGTTCTTTTGATTTCTTAAATGCGTCTCTTGCACAAAGACAGACACAATCAAGGCTCAATGTCTCCTACTAAGCTTGATTGAATTGAAAATCCCAATTATTATGATTACTACAGTAAGTGTGGCTTGTAACTGAGCAGATGAGATGGAAATGGATCAATAAAGGAACAGGAAGAAGTCATTAAATTTGGCCTCCACTGAAAATAGTGAGTTTTAAGAAATTAAAGCAGCATAAATCCATCTCTGTCATTCTCACACACTCTTTTACTTGGCTCTTTCCCCAAAGCAGCAGACTCCCAGAGGACGCAGACTTACTCATGTATAACTGCGGTGGGGTTATCCCAGTTACCTCTGCACCTGCGTCCAACCAAACCACATCATAATATGCACCAGTAAGTCATTTTGAGACACAATCATACAAACAATATCAATGAACATCAATGACTGGATTCAAAAGGTTAGGAAATGACCCATTTGGATTTTTTAGAACTGATAAAATACAGATATTTTTGTGAAAAATAATACTTCATAATCAACTGTAACAGCTCCATTGGTAAGAATCTCACCGCGATATCAAACACTCAAGTTAACAAAGGAAAACGTTTTTTTTCTAATTAGATAATTTTGATAATACAAAAAAAACAATAAAAGTGATGATTTTATTTCTTGAAACCTTCAGTGACTCTTAAAAGTACAAATCAAGTCACTGAAAGTAAAAAACAATAAATAAATGAACACAACAAGCATTAGAGAGTAAGACAAATAATTAAAGCTGTGCTGTGAAAAAAGGAGAAACAGGGAAGGCCTGTTTTAGATTGAGCTTGTGTTTTGTTGAGCTCTTTAGCAGGATTTAAGACATTGGCACTTTGGACAGCATCAGCCTCTTCACTTAAGCTGTCGGCTGTGGCCTGTGCACCGCTCTTCCCACAACAATGCATAATGAGACATTACCAGGTTCACTTTTTACCAGGGATTTAATCAAACTGGTTCCAAACGTCCTTAAAATGGCGGATAATTCGCAGATTGTTGTTGCATAAGTGGTCTGTCCAATCATCATGAATTATTTATCTCTGAAACTCATTTATATTCGGGACTTTGCATCATTCAGGTGAGGCCAGGAATGCGCATAATGACATTTAGACTGAACGTTTTTTAGATTTGGTCAATTACACACCAAAGTTATGATCTAAAAAAGCCTAATATAATATATAATCTGTCTCCTTGACTTCCTATTCAAAACAACAACATCGAGACGCCCCATCTCCTCATCATTTTATCGTAATTTCCTTGCAACAGAAAATGTACTTTTTTGTAAGTAAAACATAACTCTGTGACTCTTGGGGGCTAGGATGTATTTGATGTGCAGGAGAAATGGGTGGAAGCCTTGGATGACCTTTTCACACCGACAAATTGATGAAAACTTTACATTTCTCTCCTTGTTCGCATAACTTGAGTACAAATTGTGCATCTTTCAACTAAAAGCATATTTTTAAAACCAGAGATGGAATGACATTTCTGCGACTTATGGTGTAGCTGCAAATGTGATCAAAACAAAATAACAAAATATAGTGCTTTTCCTTTTTATATCCTCTTCAAACATCGAGCAAATTAGACCAATTTACGGAAAAAACATCACCACGAATCAATCTTCAGCGACAAAAGGACGGGAGGATTTCAGGCTACTGTATTTTATAACTAGATGAAGACAGGATGTTGTGGTCTGATTTGTTCACAACATTTTACTTTTACTCTTTCTGCATCCAGGACATAATCAATTTTGACACAATGGATTGTTTGAAAAACCCAGCTTTCACAGAATTCTATTTCAGTTGGCGGGCAGCTGCTAATATAACTGTAAATGTGTTCCTTAATCATTTTTTTAATAGTGATTTGATTCTAAAACTTGTATCGTATTCTAAAGCCTAGCGTACATCGACAGAGTAACAACTAGTTGCAAGGCGGCTTTTGGCAACTGAGAGTAGTGTGAGCGCTCTTACAACTGGAGATAAACAGTCGATCTCTGGATTCAGTCAGTTGCCCGTGTTCTTCTTTTCGGCAACTAGTTGTACTCAGATCCGGAGATATGACCCGATGTGCGCGCTCCAACAACATGTGTTGAGAGTGTCATCATGTGACGTATTGCGCGCCCTCTACTGTTTATGTCAGAAAACACACTGTAGTTGAGGCCAGTTGCTGTCGATGTTCGCGCTGTTATTCCCGAGACTGGCCTGATACTGGGAGTGTGCGGGGCAGCAACTCATAGGCGACGGGTATAATCAGTTGCCAGTCCGATGTACGCTAGGAATTATGCCTGAAAGTCTTTCCTACAGGCCATATGTTTTTGAACATTGTCACCACCTTTATGAGAATAGAATTAGACGATGATTTGCACTGACAAAGAAGATGTGGGACCCCTTTCTCAATGTGGGCCTCCCCCAGGTTCTCACTTATCCCACTGGGTTTAGAGTTTTTCCTTGCAGATGCAGGAGTGTCGGTTAGAGTCTTGGAAGGTCTAACAATAAGGACAGTGGTGATGATCCAGGACACTCAACATTCAACAACATTTATGGACATTTATCAACACTTTGCCTTTTATGAACCAATACCAATGTGTTTTCTGTGGTTTAAACTGTTTGATTCTCTGATCTATGTTTGGGTATTGCTGTGTACAATTCTCTGAGCTAACTACTTTGCCTATAAGTAAGTAAGTAAGTAAGTGTTTATTTATATACCGCCTTTTCACTGCAGATCTGAGTCTCAAAGCGGTTTACAATTGTTAATTTTTGGGCAATTGTCTCTCACTCCACACAGAGATGGGAGCGGGGTCGCCTGTACAGGAGGCACATGCCAGAACTATTGGACATATTTTTAGTGGTAGGGGAAACCGGAGTATCCGGAGGAAACCTACGCAGACACGGGGAGAACATGCAAACTCCACTCAGAAAGGCCCTGGTCCGACCGGGATTCGAACCCAGGACCTTCTTGCTGAGAGGCGAGAGTGCTATCCACTCAGCCACCGTGCCGCCCGGCAGTAAAGTTTGTCGCATGCCTTGATGTGTGTATGCGTACTATGTTATTACCTCTAAACTAAGACAAGAAGCATGACGTTTGACAGTTCCCATAGTTACCAGGACCACAATGTTAAACTCTAGGCTGTGTGCACCGTGAATGCATCCTATAGCCGCGGTTATGCTCCCAATCCTCACATGCACCACACACTCCTCCACAGCCTCACCCTACTGAGTTGCTCCAGCAGCCGGTGGTTCTGCTCCGACAGTTCCCGGATGGCTCGGCTCTTGTCGCGGTCGGTGTCTCGGAGTTGGACCTGGTGTCTCTGCAGCTCGTCCTGAAGGTGCAGGACGTCTGACTCCAGCTCGGCCACGCGCTCCTCCCACTCCCCCTCGCGGCTCTCCATACGCCGCCGCAGCTCGTGCTTCTCCTGCTCCAAGTGCTGTGGACAAAGAGAGGGTCCGATTAAAGCAAAGGTACGTGACTCACAACTATATATTAGGTGCACTAGAAAATACAGCATCTCATACTTGCTCCTTATTATGCTAAAGTCAGAGGTTTTTCTACCTTTTTCTAGTCTTGCTTCTGCATCAGGCTAAAGCTGGAGATTATGAGACTTTTTTTCCTTATTATGCTATAAAGATTCAATACTACTTCTTTTTATGCTAGACATGTTTATAGAAATATTTTATTTTAGTATAGAGTTGTTATTCATTTATCTTGTGCTATGTGCTCCTCATTCCTACTGTTCTGTAACTTGTGATGCAACACTAAAATGTCCCCACTGTGGGACAAATAAAGGATCTCTTTATCTTAATGTTTCAACAATAGCAGCAGAAGAACAAGCTTTTTAGTATCCTCCAGTTGCTGTTTAGTCAGAGGAAGTATCTAGGCCCCTTTGGTGGTATTCACAAAGAAGACATACAGCAGATGAACATGACTAACTTATTTTAAAGCTTGAGCACCTAACTTTTTTTGTTTCCTACATAACAGATTATGTTTGTTGTTGAAAGGTTGTGAACATGTTGACTACAACAAGCTGGCTTTACATATTTGCCCTGTGAGTCACTATTGGACACTTTGGGCTGATAGCTGATTGGCTGAGTGTGGGTGGTCCTCTCTATTCCCCTTTTCTGTCTAAAAAACCCCATCTAAGGTTGTGGTAGAGGCCGAAAAATAAAAATAATGCATGTGAAAACTGATTTAAGAACCAGGAGTACTTCCATGGATTTTATTAGATATATTTTTTGTAGCTTGAAAGTTAGGTACCCCAGCTTTAACAAAGTGTAGAACATGTATTATGAAATTAGGTGAGTTAGGAAAAACCTGCACAGTAATCCTGCATGTGAAACTAACTAGAGAACCTTTATTCATCCTATATGGGGAACACTCAAAACAAGATAGATAGCCACAGCATGCACAGGCATAAATATGAGAGAATAACTCCTTAGCTGAAGTATAATCATATAATTGCACTTGGAAAGAGTCTATGCATACATTAAAAAGTAAGTACAGTATGCAAGTAGCCGTAGGTGGTTCTGGATTGGCATCTAGACTGTTTATGTATTAGCAGCATACGGATAGGAACAGGGCAAGCTTGTGGTTAGTACTGTGATGGGAGACCTCTGGGAACACCAGGTGCCACAGTGGGGCGGCTGCGGAGGTAAAGGGCCAAACTGTTGTCGTGTCCTTAGGCAAGACACTTCACCCACATTGCCTGGAATGAGTCGGGTGTGTGTGTGAATGGTTGGTGGTGGTGGTCGGAGATGGCACATACTGGTTTCCTCGCTTCTGTCAGTGTATCCCAGGGAAGGTGTGGCTACAGTAGTAGGTTATCTCCACCGTGTATGGAGTGAATAAATAACGACATGTGAAGCGTCTTTGAGTGTCCAAAAAAGCACTATATATTTTTTTTTATTATTAATCATTAGAATAATCTTAATCTTAATTTTATTTGATCATCCTATTGTCTCTGTATTTTACACTGTAAATGTGTACATAGTCACAGATATGTATATTCCTTAGTATATCCAGATTATTCTTTTCTCACAATACTTAAAATATTCTTATTTTCAGATTGTTACTTTAATGTTATTTTTATAGTGAAATACTATGCAAGCTACTGTGACAACGCAATTTCCCTTGTGGATCTATAAAGTCTGTGTCTAAGTCTAAGTCTAAATAATAATAATAATACTACAGTCTGACGGCAGCAGCTCGGAAAGAAACGGTTTGTTTTGTTTTTGAGCTACGGTGCCATCCAAGTAATGTATTCGGTGCATAATAATAGTGTATCCAAGTCTGAGATTGAATGCAAATTGTTTAAAAACAAACTCAATGGAGTGTGAAACAAGATTACTTATATATGCTCTAATGGGCCTTTATTATGGAAGGAGTAAAGATATTTCCTTTATCTCTTTTATTAGAACTGTCCATGTTGAACCTACTTATAACACCAACATCATAATCAACACTTAAGAATATGGATCATTATAAAAAGCAAAGTTATAACGTACAATACCCTTTCCCCAAACATGCATTCTCAATCATGGATCATGATCTTCACTGAAACTATACATGAATAAAAACATATGCACAAGAATGAGCCAGATTTTGATCTTTCTTCATTTTTTAGATAATCTACTCTTATAAAGAAGACATATTCTGCATAATCAACTATTTTGAGCTTTTAACCCGTTTACAACTTGTTACAACTGTCACAACTGTTCCCTTGTTGTTGTTTTAAGATCCATCCACACTAATATCAGGAACGTCTGGCACAAACATGTAGCTCCGCCCCTTCTGGCCAAAAGCTCCAGTCTCAGTCCTGTAATAGTATGATGTCACTGGACCACTATGACATCACACTCTTAAAACACAAATGTCTGCCCATATATTAGTTTAGGCAATATTAGGCAATCTCTGACATGAAATTATGGTCAGAGTCTGGACTAAACATGGGTAGTCGGCAATTCAGATTCATGCAGCTAAAATCTGGAACAGTCTTCCTGAAAATGTGAGACAGGCTTCTTCTCTGAAAATGTTCAAATCCAGTTCTGTTTAGCAGTGCATACAACTGAGGGATTAATCATCGCTCTTTTTATGTACTGTGATTAATTATGATTGTATGATTGTTGTTTCTATCTTGTTTTGTTAAACTTGCCTTGCTTTGCCTTTACAATCTACTGTTTGCGGCCGGTAATTTTCACATCTGGAAAAAGCCAAAGCAAATTCAACCCTCTGCGGTAACATAGGGAGCTACAGGTGGCGAGCATTTGTTTTCACCTTTTATACTTCACCAGACATGTTTTACTTAAGATAGTGTTTCACATTCTAAAACATGACATGCCAAAGTAAGAAGTCTCATTATCATTTGTCCAAAAATAATGCATAATATTTCTTCTTTAATATTCTACTGCATTCATGAGCGAGTGTACACAACAGCTGTCCCATTTAGGCTCTGTTTTCATCTCTTTGCAAATGCAGCAGTAAAGAGGTGATGAAAGATGTCATCAAAACAATGGGACGTAAACAGCCCTGCATGATCAGGGCAGGGGGGCTCGGGGGCTGTAATATCATCAATGATGATGGGGCAGCCTTTTAAAGGAGATTTATTCGGATAAATGTGGATCAAAGAGCTGAGCAGATGTACTGTCAACATGGTAAGCCTGGTGAGCAACAGCATTAATCCATGCATGAGGATTCACAGTCATTCTAGCATGTGTAAGTTTCAATGAAATAAATAACTCCGCAGAAGTTAAAAAGCATTTCATAATTTAGGATGTTGTTGGTTTCGTTTGAAATAGTTTAAACTTGGAAGTGTTCAGTCTGCTGGTTACTGAACCATGGGACGGGGTTACATCTAACAATTACAGCGCCGTATGTTACATTTATTTCCCAAGACTGGGCTTGAGATAAAGCGGAGGACCCTGCGGTGCGTGAGGGTGTCGCTCTGATAGGACACTTTGCCACAGTTTGTTTGGACTTGTTCATCAGTGTAAATGGACCACGTGCTGATTATGGCAGACTAAATAAACAATCATAAACATGTCTGATTGCTCTGGTTGTTTACCTCCAGTTTGTCGCTGAGGTCTTTCTGCATGCGCTCATATTGCTTGGTCAAATCCTGGTTTCTCTCGAGTAAAGCTTTCCCAAGTTTAGCAGCTAAAACTAGGTCCTTTTCCTTCTGTCGGAAGAGCGTGAGTAGCTCTGCACTATGGCCCAGTCCAAGTGCTTGTGGGTCAGACAGCTCTTCATCCTGGTGCCGCTGTCCCGTGAGTACAGACAGTTCCTCCTCCAGGGCCAAGCCCAGGCCTCCCGAGCCGGTGTGCCGCAGAGGGTGAGGCTGCATGCCGCCTGCGGGCTCCCGCTCCGGGCCCTGGAGCTGACCACAGTCGCTGTCCAGCTCCAGTGGTGCTGACCGAGGTGAGGCAGAGGCAGAAAGCGGACAACAGATGTGTTCACTCCGGCTGTGGCCGCCCTGCCATGAGCGGCGGAGAACACCAGCCTCTGCTCAACACTTCATCCATGCTCCTCCACCGACTCTCAGCCCGACCACGCCGTCCTCTGCACCGCGGCTCTCAGCAGCGACGCCTCCTCTGCGGCTGTACGCGCGGCTCTGAAACGCGGTGAAGAAGACTTTTATCCTGGTATTAAAGTCCTGCAGGTGTCACGGGCTCTGTCTGTCAGGGTCCGCTCCGGGGAGGGCTCCCGGTGCCCCATAATGAAGTTAGACTGGAGGCATCATAGATCTACTCCTGCATCAGCCGAGAGATGTGCGCGTCCACGCGTCAATCTCTGTGCGCGTGCCCGTGGACCGTGACGCGCGTAGACCTGTTACAAGCGGCGTCGTGATTGGCTGAAAATGATAGCCCCATATTTTGGCATTTGGCTTTAACGCACGCATCATTCCCATGAAGTCACATCTGTGGCATCTGTGGGAGGACCGTGGTGAGGACCGTGGTGAGAACAGGGTGAGAACAGGGTGAGAACAGGACAGGACGTCTCTGCTCCAGAGGCCTCTGCACCAGTGAGGAAACACTGTTTCAAGAGGAGTAGGTTTTACATGAGCTTTAATCATTGAGGTATTAGTACAATTATAGCATAATGGAAGCAGACCTGCAGGGCAGAATGTTCACGTCATCACCAGCACAAGCCTTTACGTGACGCGGAGGAAAAAATGGCGGCGAAGCCACGTGTATTCCATTTCACCTGTTGCTTCATAATGTGACTGTAGGTAGTATCGCATTATCGGAGTAAATTATTACAGTTTCTTATGCATAGTTGTTATTTTTGAAGCATCACTCTTTCCCAAATGAACCATGCGGAGGTGAGCAGCCATTCCCTGAGCGAAGTTCAATGCTAGCAGACTGCAGGCTATGTATGTTATTAATGTACACTGGAGAACTTGTGGATGACATTACATAACAACTGACTATTGATATTAGATGTGGATATCTCCGAAAGATACATTTATTGTTTATTTTATTTATTTATTTGGGTGTTAAAGGAGGTACAATGCATATTAATGAACATTTAACAAATGTAAATATGCCAGATTATAGCCTTAGGCTAATTTCCATCTGCAGACCTCCTGGCAGGTTGATGTTAACAAAGAACATAAAAACAAACAAGATGTAACAATACAAATCATGCAAAAAATACAGTGTACACAAGACTATATACAGGACATGTACAAGGACAGCTGAACACGTACAGACATGTGAGACAGTAAACAACAATTGACAGAAAGACTTGAGACATTGTATTTCACACATCCTATTGCACTGTTCCCTACTGCACCGTTCCCTACTGTACTGTTCTCTATTATACTGTTCCCTACTGCACTATTCCCTATTGCACTGTTGTTCCCTATTGCACTGCTCCCTATTGCACTGCCCCCTATTGCACTGCTCCCTATTGCACTGCTCCCTATTGCACTGCTCCCTATTGCACTATTGTGCTATTGTAATCTACATGATGGGCTTCACTTCCACAATGCAGCACATGTGTAGCATTTAACATACATTTCCTTTACAGGGTCCAAACTTGCTGGACCAACCCTAACAATAGAACATGTACAGCTAGACTTATGCATATTGAGGGAGGGCATATTGTTAGATCCCAGTGGCCAAGTATCTTATAACAGAACTAGACTGTATTTTCAGCGGAGGGTGACGTACGTTGGTGAATGAACACACACAAAGCCTTTCTGAACTGACAGAGTGTAAAGCACAATAGAAGTGGGTCACTCCTGCTGCTCCTGCTGTGGCTTTAGGGGAGACCATCAAAACACTGATAAACCACTAAGCCCAATGCATGCTGGTCCTTACATTATCCTTATTAGTGTAATTCCACTTGGGCAAATAGTAGAAAGACAAAAACAACACATGCAGGAATTCTAATGTTTTCAAGAACAGATTTCCATATTATTCATTAACCAAAGCATATCAAAAGAACCTTATAGCCTTTTAAATTGTACACCTATGTATACTATTAATGTACAGTGCTATTTTATTATTATTTTTATTATTTATGACATTAGAATCTCTCAGTAAGGATCTTGTGTGGAAGTAGGGTTGTAATTTACGACTATTTTTGCAATCGATTGCAATAGTTGGGCGATTCTTCATTCAATTATCGGGTTGTTAGGATCAGGAAAGACCTCTAAACATGGGATTTTTAAATAGATTTGACAAAAACTAAACTAGAGCGATGTGACTCATGTTGTTACAGACTAGATTTAACAAATATGGTTGTTTGTTGAAATAAATGTTCATGCCGTTTTATTTGACTAGATACAGCTCTGTTTGGAGTCAAGAAATAGTCACAGCATATGGCTAATATCTGGGCTCTTTAAAAAAAAAAAAACTTCATAAAAAATGTATCAATTACTAAAATACACAACTTAAATATAGACATGTATTTAAATAATTGATTAGTTGCGACTGATTGATTAACTCGTTACAGCCCTAGTTGGAAGGCTTGGTTGTTTAAACCATCTAATTCAATACATATTTGATTTATGGACATTTAGATTACTGAAATTTGTAAAAAAAAAATGTGTACCTGATTGATCTTTGCTTTCACTCCTGTGCTCCACCTTCCAGATAACAGTTCCAACCAAAAATCCATTGCCTTTATGTCATCAGATGTTATTATTGTTTTAGTATACTGTATTATGAGAGATTACATTTGGAGGTTGACAGCAGCACAGACACACATCCTTGTAGGACTGTGCTTTGTTTTGATATCTGGAGAAACTGTTAGGCCTCCATCATGTTATGTGTGTGAGAGTGAATAGTTGGCTTATTGTCAGCTGGCTTTTCTCCAACATTCACACTTCCTGAGTTCAAGAATGCCATGTAACTGTTGTAGCTATTGTTTGTAATGGGTCATAGAGAATTTGCTGTCTATGATTTGTACTATAGCTCCCTCTATGGCCAAATGCTAAGTATTACAATGAAGCGCTCCAAACTACAGCAGTTATTTCGCAATTTGAGATCTTAAAAAAGCTTTGTATTCAATTTGATTTTTAAATATTTTCTTTAAAGGTGTGTTGCTCAACTGTCCTGGTGATTTTTAATTGGGTTCATCTCTAAGCATTCTAAAACGTTTTTTACTATTTATGTATTTACTTTTAGATTTGAAACAAGAATGTAATTTCACTTGGGTAAATTACAGTTTAAGTTATATCTGTGGAGAGGTGATAATTCTTACTGTAGAAAAAACAGTTTTTAAGCGCTACAATCATCCAATAATGAAGATTAAGAATGAGCAAACTTTTCAAGCAAAGCAATAACATCTACTGAAATAAGTAGATATCAGATCACTCCACAAAACAGTACAGCATATTCTGCGTTTATATTTGGACATGAACACAATATCAATAGACCACATGCTTCAAAGCCATAATGTATTCATAAATTTAAACCATTTTCAAGAACGTCATAATTTTGTTTTGATCTGTCTTTGCTCCACAGCTAAGATCCAGCAGCGAGACACCAGGATCTGGACAGGAGCAAACGTCAATAAAATACCGGAAACAACAATATCAAAGGACACAAGGCGTTGCAGTGGAGACATGGAATAATACAGGTACGTTATTATCAAAGTGCACTGACATAGAGCGTGTGTTATGTCTATATTTTTATTTCACCTTTATTTAACCAGGAAAGTCGCATTGAGATTAAGAACCTCTTTTTCAAGGGAGTCCTGGACAAAAGTTACATACATAACAGATTATGAAACAGTTACATACATATTATAAAAATAGTTTCATAAAATTACGGATTATAAAAAACAGTTGAGGATGCCTCAAATGCTCTCAATCTGGATCTAAAAGCATTCAATGAAATAAATTCAGATAATTTCCAGTCTTTTTGCAAAACGTTCCATGTAGAAGGAGCAGCATGTACAAAAGCAGTTTCCCAGTTCTGTGCGGGCGAAAGGAACAGAGAGCAACAAAAGATCATTTGATCGCAAACCATATGAACCAAGATCTCTTTGTGTGAGTAAACTGCAGATGTAAGAGGGCAGCAGACAAAGCAGCTGAAAACAAATGTGAGAGGTGTTCTTTTTTGCACAATCAACATTACGATAATCTCTTAAAAACTTGGGGGGAAGTGATATTGACCAGTGGTTCCCAACCTTTTCTGCCCTGTGGACCCTCTTGCCAGTATAGACGGAGCACAATAGAGAAACACTTCTTTGTTAGGGAAAAGTGTTTCATGTACCCAGAGAACAAGCTCAATTTGATCTTCGCTACAACTGTTTTTAAGCTTACTGTTATACCAAGGTCTCCGCTTTTCTGTAAGGATCTTTTATCTCCTCTTTTGCATCTTTTGATTACTTCATAGTTAAAGAGCGACTAAACACCTGTGCACAGCCTGACTCCGCCCACATGAACATTTGAAAATGTTCTCTTAAAAGGGCGTTGCCAGAGGACCAAGGGACAAGAAGGGGGGCTTAGAGTTGGGCGTGGTCTTGGCTGTGATTGACAGCTCACTTGTCACACAAAAAAAAAACAGACAGTTGTCATTGCCGCTTAAAGCAATAGTTTACGCACCAGAAAGTCTCATTCCACCCTTGTTTACACACTAAGATAATTGTAAAGCTACACACCTGAACCTAATCACACACAATAATCTCAGAATCACTCATGTAATTTAATTTTAATCCACTAGATGTCGCCAGAATACTCCAACCTGCTGCTGGGGCATGTGTGAGAGTTGAATGGGTTTATATCACTGGGCAGACAGATGCACGTCACACACACCAACTGACGTCACACACACCAACTGACGTCACACACACCAACTGACGTCACACACACCAACTGACGTCACACACACCAACTGACGTCACACACACCAACTGACGTCACACGCACCAACTGACGTCACACACACCAAGTGACGTCACTCATACCAAGTGGCGTCACACACACCAACTGACGTCACACACACCAGCTGACGTCACACACACCAACTGACGTCACACACACACCAACTGACGTCACACACACCAACTGACGTCACACACACCAACTGACGTCACACACACCAACTGACGTCACACACACCAACTGACGTCACTCACACCAACTGACGTCACACACACCAACTGACGTCACACACACCAACTGACGTCACTCACACAAACTGACGTCACACACACACAAACTGACGTCACACACACACCAACTGACGTCACACACACACCAACTGACGTCACACACACCAACTGACGTCACACACACCAACTGACGTCACACACACAACAACTGACGTCACACACACCAACTGACGTCACACAGAATTACAGAATCAATGGAGAGGCCAAGACCAAATTCAAATGTAGTACCACCGAAAAGGTTGAGAGGGCGCCACACAGACATTTTTTGTAGAGCCCTGTACTTGAGCCCTTGGCCCGAGGGCCCCGACGGCCCGACAGCCCGAGGGCCGGGCTTCGGGCCGATGACCGCATAATGACCTCGGACACGGGCCGGGCTCGGGCTCTTCATTTTCAGAGCGGCAGAATACATTTACGAACGCACCCACTGAATATAGCGTTCTATCACGCTGTAGTGTTTGTTGTTCTGTGTAGTGTTGTCATTGACGGCACATAGCATTACTTATGTAATGTGCAGATGTGTTGCAGCATCGGGGGCATCATACAGATGCGGCCGTTCACTCTGCACCACTCCGCACTCACAGAACTCATTGCAACACATCACTACCATGTATAACTCCGCCCTCTAGCTAAGTCTGCGTTCATATCAGTGCGCGGCACTATATACTACGCTAAAACATTGTTATGGGAGGTTACAAAAAAAAAAAAAAAGGCGGGCTTGATGCGGGTTTCGGGCCTGAAAATTCAGAAACCATATCGGGCCGGGCCGGGCTGGGGCGCCACCCCCTCGGGCCAGGGCCGGGCTCGGGCCCAGATAATAGGCCCGTGCAGGGCTCTAATTTTTTGGCTCAAAAGTGAGATTTGATCTAATTTGCACTAAAATGTCAAAAAAATGACCAGAATATGTAGAGAGCACTACAATAAACATATTTATGCTGTTTATGAGTTACAAAAAGTTGATTTGGTGTTTAGGCGCTCTTTAATTGTATGTTTAATTCATGTAGATGTACTTTAAGGTTGAGTTTGAAACGTCGGAAAACCTGCTAACTGTACAGATGATGGGTGACCAACCTTCCTCTGTTTTAAGGTTGAGTTTAAATTTGTATTAACAACAAAATGAGAACATGCTTGGATTGAACCAAAACTGGACCAAAAGTAGGACCCAATTATTATCCTTATGAATTGTGTTCTCGGTTCAATGTTTGATTGATTGATTGTTATTTATTTGAGCATTTTACAAACATATTTTGCATTATTACAAGATTACACTGTTATAAAGTCGCTCAAAAGGAGTAGGCTGAAGCAAGAAAGCTTATTAGTGCCTACCCCCTATTCTGAGTGATCACTTTCAGCTGCAGACAATAAACGGTGAATACAGGCATCATACAGTTTACATACAATAAACACTACAAGTTCCTGAGTTACCCAAGCACATGCACATCAGAAGGTGCATGGGCCTGTTTACTTATAAGCAATTAGTGAATGATAATTTCCATACATAGGCACACACAAGGCTCTGTGGGTGTGCCCATCCCAGTGGGGGCGGGTCTCGGCTCAAAAGTGGCCAAAATGACGTGCGCTGACATGCTTGCAAAACCACCCCGGGCCGATGGGGGTGGACCCATTTGGATTGCTCCAGTAGAGCACATTTTTTGGCCCATTAGTTAGAACAGTGGAGATAGGCGTGACTCTGTCCATTAATATATACAGTCTATGGCCCATCCATGATCACAATCAATTCCACGATTACAGTTGTCCACATTATCCTAACAAATGTCAGCATGGATTAGAAAAGCATTAATGTTATACAATAAATCACAAGATTTTCACACGACTTCCAAGGTAAGATAATCATTATTATTATGTACGTGTTTTTATTAAATTTTAATTTTTTCATTCATATGATAACCATATATCATTAACACCGATCACCATTCTATTGACTGATCATGATTTCATTATTATTTGCATTACATTTGTCACCATTTTCATTCTCATCCATACATTATCATGATTATTAGTCCCCTTACCGTCATTCCCATTTTAGAAATACATCATAATGTTATTCACACTACCCATTATTTTTATTTTAATTTTATTTTATTTTTTTGTTAAGAATAGAAAAATGGTGAGTTTGTTTTCTTGAGAGAATAAGCCTTAAATTGATGTGCCCATATAGGAGCCAATATTATCCTTGCATGTTTCTAGTACCCCCTGAAATACCCCTGTGTACCCCTGGGAGTCCACCTACCCCTGGGAGTTGCTATAGGTGCCGGTTTTTAAAATCATTTAGTAAACACCTTGAAACACATAAGTATATTTTGTACATTTTATTGTATTTTTTGCTAGTCTTTTGGTCAATTCACACAAGGAGTGATCGTTGCAGTCTTACATAACCTCAGCTGTTAGTGATATGCCTCTGGTCGAATTTTCCCATCAGCAAAGCAACGTTTGGATCGGCATTACGTAACAGACGCCCCGCTCTTCAAAGCTTGAGATTC